GGAGAAGCAGGCCTCCCACCGAGCAGGGAGCCCGATGCGGGGCTCGATCCCAGGACCCTGGGATCATGACCCGAGCCGAAGGCAGACGCCTAACGACTGAGCCACCCAGGCGCCCCCATCATTAAATATTTTTGAAGCATGTATTAATTTTGTATAATTTCCACTATCTGTATGTATCACAGTTTATTTAAGTATTTTCCCATTATATTAATACATTTTGCTATTTATAATGTTAGGAACATCTTTGTACATAGATGTCTTCTTAATTTTAAAGCAAGTGTTTTCAGGCAAATGTGCTGTTATATTTGTTGCTACATAAAGATCTTGGAATAATTATGAATTGTTTTATATTTTCAGATTGCAAGTGTGTGGATGGATGGATGGATGGATAGATAATGCACTTAATTTCATGCTTCTCTTTCTCAGGAATTCTTTGTTGCTTTGCGTCTTGTGGCATGTGCCCAGAATGGATTGGAGGTTTCACTGAGTAGCTTAAACCTGGCCGTCCCTCCACCAAGATTTGTAAGAAATGATCTTAAATTTAAATTGTATTTAATTTAAAAAATGATACTACATGATTTAGAAATTAAAATTGCCATATTAAAAAATTCCTCTAACCCCTATCAGCCAGCTACCTGATTTTCTTTCTTAATGGCTACTGCTGTTATTAGTTTCTTATATATCCTTCTAGATTTATTATATGTGTATATAAAGAAATATAAATACCCACTTCCTCATTTTACATTGATAGTAGTATACAATTAATAAACACAATTCTATACCTTTTCAAATAATGTTTTAGAGATCTTTACATAAAAGCATCTTTATTCTTTTTTATAGCTGTATAGTATTTCCTTGCTTCTATTTACATAAAATGTTTAAAGTTTTTATTTAAATTCAGTTAATTAACATACAGTGTAACACTAGTTTCAGGTGTACAATATAGTGATTCAGCACTTCCATACAACACCCAGTGCTCATCACAGCAAGTGCCCTCCTTAATCCCCATTACCTGTTTAACCTATCCCCCCACACCTCCCCTTTACCATAATTTGTTTAACTTCCTGTTGATAGGTTTTTAGCTTGTTTCTAATCTTTTATTATTAAAAAAATGCTGCAATGAAAAATGAACTTGGGTATATGTCATTTTGTATGTGTAGAAATATATTTATATGTGCATATTCTCAGAAGTGGAATTGCTGTTTCAGAAGTTTGCTCATTTGTGCAATTTTCATATATAATATAAACTTGTCTTCCATAATGGTTGTACTCATTCACAATCCCGCCATCAATTGGTTGAGTGCACTTTTGCTAACATACTGTTGTTAAACTTTTTGATCCTTGTCAATTTGAGAGGTGACAAATGGAATGTTAAGTGTAGTTTTAATTTGCCCATTTGGTTTTATAGAGTGAGTTTGAGTAGTTTTTCTCATGCTTATGGGCCATTTACATTACCTTTATGTGAAATGTCTGTTTAAAGCTTTTGCCCATTTTTTTTAGATTATTGGTCTTTTTTTTTTAAATTGAATTCTAGAGGCTACACTCATACACACACACACACACACACACACACACACCACACATATTTTTTTTTCTCCAGTTTGTCATTTGTCTTTTGACATTTTGATGTTTTTTTCCCATAAGGAGGTCATTGTTCTTTATGTAAATGAGTTAAAAGGATTTAATTTTTTTATGGTTTCTTTTTTCACATTTATGTTAGTCTTGATATCAAGTATGAGTATGGATTCAAATTTATGTTTTTTTCAAGATGGCTACTTTAGACCTAATACAGTTTATTAAATAACCAGTTTTTTCCTTACTGATTTGAAATGCCACCTCAGTCATGTATTTTGGTTTCTTTTTGGATTTTTCTGTTCTTTTTGGTCTGTTTATCCATATGCTTATCTCATATTGTTTTAATTATCATATTTGGTAATTTGTTTTTACATCTGATAGGGCTATTCCTCCCTACCCTATCCCCCTTTTCAGAAGTTTCATGGCTCTTACTTTTTTTTGGTTTGTTTGTTTTAGATTTTATTTATTTATTAGAGAGAGCATGAGTGGGGGGCGGTTAGGGTTAGAGGGAGAGGGAGAAGCATATTCTGAGCAGGAAGCCTGACACAGGGCTCGATCCCAGGACCCTGAGATCATGACCTAAGCCGAAGGCAGACACTTAACAGACTGAGTCACCCAGGCGCTATGACTCCTAGTTGTTTTTAAATTCAGTATTTTAAAAGTATTTGGTCTGAATATTATGAATTCAACTTCAGTTTTGAGAACTTCTGCATTTGTAGGTTTAGGCATGGAATCAGAGGGTTAATTTAGGGATTTGTTGCCTAACTATATTATTATAAAAATGTTTCAATATATCCATCTGTCTCTATAAGCAGATAAATATAACAACTTGGGCATGCTGTTAATAGGTTCATGTACTTGTAACTTAAGAAATCTTAAGTTGGGTTCTTGTCCCAGTTTGCTTTCCTTAAATAGTGTTGGGAAAAAGTCATCAGTTAACAGGGCCACAAATATTTTTGTTACATTGAGATATCTTTATCTTGATATCAGTTGTAATAAGATTTCTTCTATAACACTTAAATGTTTCAGTTAGTGCTCTAATACCATTTATGCAGCTAACTCAGATAACTTTGTTTTTGTTTCATTTGTATTTAGATGAAAGTCTAATAGAGTCAATGTTAAAATAGTGTCCTGTGTGCTTTGAGTTCCGAATTTTGTATGAATGTATTTAAATCCAAGGACCACTTTTTCTTTGTTGTTTATTGATGTGAGGTTTTCAACTCTTCATGTGCTCTATTTTCCTTTCTAGCATGATACCAGTAGTCCTTTGCTAATCAGTGGAACTTCTGTAGCTGAGCTCCCATGGGCTGTAAAAGTAAGTAAACTTTGTAACTGCTTTTTCCTTACCACTGCTTTGCTTCCTACCCACATAATCCTCTTCCCCTATTTCCAAAATCTATTGTAATCTGCATGAGATTTTCATTTTTACTGTAGGAGAAATACTAGTACTAGAAATCTTTTGAGAGATGTTACTGTTCTGTCAATCATTTTGTGACAATTGATTTGGCTTAATCTCATTTCTGTTACAGTATAAACTAAAAATGGTGATATCATAATACTATTTTATGAATAAGTAGTTTACCCCACTGGTATTATTTCCTGTTCAAAAATTATGGTTAACCATGGGGCGCCTGGGTGGCTCAGTCGGTTAAGCGACTGCCTTCGGCTCAGGTCATGATCCTGGAGTCCCGGGATCAAGTCCCGCATCGGGCTCCCTGCTCGGCAGGGAGCCTGCTTCTCCCTCTGACCCTCCCCCCTCTCATATGCTCTCTGTCTCTCTCATTCTCTCTGTCTCAAATAAATAAATAAAATCTTTAAAAAAAAAAAAATTATGGTTAACCAGATAATTCTCCTTATGGCTCTAAAACTAACAATTTTGTATTAAATCTTTTTCTGAAGTGGATCATTTTATCTATTTGGAGACATCACACTAGTTATAGCTATCTTACCAGATTTTTTAAATTGTAATTTTTAAATAATACTAGAATATAGCAGATCAGATGACCTTTAATAAATATGAATAGTTTTGTCAGAAAGTCATTTGGTTTGTAGGTCTATGCTTGTGTATTTTTAACTAATTCTAAAAAGTATAGGGATCTGGCTTTGGGCAAATCACAAATGATAGGTTGTTTTTTTTTTTTTTTTTAAAGATTTATTTATTTATTTTAGAGAGAGAGCACACATGCAAGAGGGGGGAGGGGCAGAATGAGAGCATCTCAAGCAGACTCCGCTGTGAGTGCGAAGTCCAACTTGGGGCTCAACATGGGGCTTGATCTCATAACCCTGAGATGATGACCTGAGCAGAAATCAAGAGTCTGACTCTCAACCGATGGAGCTACCCAGGTGCTCCACAAACAGTAGTTTTTTATGTTATACAGATAACTTCCCAGGATTCTAGGGAATGCCTATTATCAATAAGAAAAGGAAATCTTGCTTTGAGAAAAATGGGGGAAACTTGATGTTTATTCCTATGGTGGTTATTTTCTTTTTAAAATCTGAGTTTGAAGTGTGACTAATACCATGTTGAGAAAGTCATAGAATGTCACTAACTAGCTGTGTGTTCTCTCAAAAGTTATTTCCTTGCTATGGATTTAAGTGAGGGTTGGACTAGATGCTCCTCTCAAAGCCCTTCCTATCACTAAAATATTTTGATTAAGCTAACAGAAAAGCAAACATAGTGTTCTAGCTACAAAAGGAGTGGAAGGGATACTGGACTCTTGAGTAACTTTTAAATTGTTATTTATAATAATATTTTTTGATGAAAGCAAAAAGTATTTTTAAATAATTTTTAAGAATATGTTGCCTGTTCTTTGAGGATTTGATTTTTATAACTGCAGTTAAATGCTTATCACCAGTATTAACTTGTGATCTTTTTTACATTATAGTCTGAAGATAAGGCCAAATATGATGCAATTTTTGATAGTTTAAGCCCAGTAAATGGATTTCTCTCTGGTGATAAAGTGAAACCAGTGTTGCTCAACTCTAAGTTACCTGTGGATATCCTTGGAAGAGTAAGATATTAAATTCTAAATGTAATTTTTATGTATCTTACTTTTGTATCTACCAGGAGCATTTATAGCTCATTGTTAAAAAAAATACTTAGATCTTATTTTGAAATTATATTATTATAGAATTTTTTGTTCTGATTTAATATGTAAAATTATTGCTAATTTTATTTGATATTCCCTCTAAGATATGAGTGCTTGAAATTAGTTATATATGTAAGCCCTTTGAGTAGGTCCTTTTTTCTTTGTGCTGTATACTCTGACTTCCCAGTTCCTTGATTTAATTTCTGGAGACCGTCTTTATTTTGTATCTGCTTCCTACTTAATAGCTGTATCATGGGGCCTTGCCATAAGGAATTGTTTCATCTCTGAAATAACTAGTTCTACTCTCTAAATAGAACTTCACACCTTTCTAGATCTCTTTCATAACTACTTGGAAGACCAATTCTTTGACTTCACAAGACTTTAAGTCTCAGAGTCCTTCACTTTCTCCATTTTTCAAATTTATTTTTTTTCCTCACCCAACTCGGTCCACAGTTTCATGTTGGTATCTTTAGCTCCCTTTTTGCCATGTTTTCTAACTTTCCCCTGAGCTGGTGAAAATCCAGCTTTGTGTTAAGCTAATTATGTGTCTTCTCTGTGGTTGCATATGGACTACTGAGAGTCTAATAAGATTGATACCATCATAATTTCATGATCACCAACTTTAGCTGGGCTTTCCCTACTCGTGGGCTGTTTCCATAGTGATTTCTCTCTAGGCCTCTTAATATAAACCTCATCTATTCTCATTAAACCTCCAGCCATTTCTTTAATCCCTTGCTTAGTCATAATACATAGGGTCAAATCCTGTCTGCACCATTTCTTAGATGTGTGACCTTGGGTGAATCATCAGAAAACCGTGTTAGTTTTTTAATCTTTAAAATGAGCATGATTCCCAGTTTATAGGGTTGTAAGGAGTAAATGTGATAATGTGTGTATTTAGCCCAGTGCTTCGTATGTATTCTTTGATGCTAGCTGCTGTGATGCTGATGGTGATAATGACTTACCACCACACCACCAGAAGTACTACTGGATCAGTAGTACTCGATAAATACTAATTTAAAAGCCATTTTCCAGTATTGTTTCTCATTAATCATTTCTCTGCTATGTGGTCAGTATGAGATTTCTAAGCTATAAATATAATCCTGTTATTTTTTGACTTAAAAACTAATCCTCTTAGTAGCTTCCTGTTGCATTAGGATAAAGTCCACATTCCTTCAAGGCACTTAATGACCAGACACTTGCTTATCTCCATTCTCATCTCTTACCAGTATACTTTCTCTTCCTGCCCCAAGTAAAATTTTGTTGTTGAATGACTTAAATATCTTCTTTTCAAGAATTTAACATAGTTTTATAGCTGGTCTAAAGGTATGGAATCTACTCTATATTTAAACCAAATCTACTAGGTTCTTTTAGATTTATTTTTCTCTTGTAAGCCCTGGACATTAGTTGGTTCATAATTAATAACACAGTATTCACTGGATTTATCTTTTAGTTTATCAGAGATTCTGTATGGAAAATAATAATGGACTTAGTTGGAAATCTTCATGTTGACTACTGATTCTATAACTTAATAATGGTCGCATGATCCTAACTAAGTCCTGTCACCTCATGTCTAAAAGCAGGTTGATAGTACCACATGGAGTTGTTGCATGAATTAACTGAGATGATGTTTCTGAAAAAGCGTTGTAGCTGTTTAAAGTGCTGTGTACATAATTGTTTTCTTGAGAGAAACAAAATATTTTCTTTAAAATTTTGTAAGGAATTTTTATTTAAAAAATACTTGTATTAAGAATTATTACTTTTTATAATAATGTTAATACAGAATATAATAGTGATATAATAAAATGTTCAGCATAAATGAAATTTCTCTGAGAAATAGATATTTTAATGTTTAGATGAAACTTTCGCGCGCGTCCCTCTTCCCCCCCCCCGCCCCTGTTTATGTATTTGGTGTTTACAGGTAGCACATGAAATGAAAGAACATTAATTTTTGTCAGTTCTTTTCTTTTTAAGGTTTGGGAGTTGAGTGACATTGATCATGATGGAATGCTTGACAGAGATGAGTTTGCAGTTGTAAGTAACCTAATGCTCTTAAAATCTTAAACATCTTAATGGTTTTTCAAGTGAGAATTTCCCTGTTTATCCTCAGAGGAAAACTATATTTCCTTAAGATTGTTGGTATGTGGATTTTTATCTAAAGTGTACAGGTAGTCAATAAATATTTTTAAACAAATGGATAATAGAAAATGTATGTTTTACCATCTTCATTTTATTTGACTTTAAGGTACATAGGATTATCTGCTTTGGATAATATACTGTAAAGATGCTGAGTGGTATTGAGCCTTTGTTTTCCATCTTAACCAGGCACCACATCTCAGTACCTCCTTCTGCTATGGAATAATTTTACTTCATATATGCCCCCAGATTTTCACATTTGTTTTATTAAAAGAAAACATGGATAACACTGTAGTTGCACTTCATTTATAGAGTCAGAGAAAGTTTTGACATCTTATCTGAAGACATGTCATCTCTGGAAATTGGAAGTTAATTCCAAATAGAGTTGTGGTTATCTCTTCCTTAAAGGCTAGATACAACTCTGCTGTGAGCTCATGAATAGGAAATCTCTAATCCCCCTTTTAATCTCTTACTTGGAAATTCATCTGTTCAGATTTTCTGTCTTTATTTTGCTAAGAAATTACCTATTTCTTTGACTTTTTGAACTCATGACAGATTGGCATTATTCTTTTAATCTCTTCTGGGGTTGTGGTTGTGCTACTTTCTCATTCCAAATCTTGTGTATTTTTGCCCCCTCTCAAGAGATCTTTTGTTTAATTGAATTTTGTCTAGTTTTAAATCTTTTAAAAGAGCCATCTTTTGGATGTAATCATCCTTTCTATTATGTTTTGACTTTTTTATTCTTCTCAGCTTTTACTTTAGTTCTTCCTAGTTTCTTTTGGTTTGCCTTTAAAAAAAAAAATTTCGGAAAATGAGTACTAAGTCCCTTTATTTTTTATCATCTTTAATATTGAAAACATTTAAGGTATATATTTTCTCTTGAGTACAGGCTTAGCTGGATTCTATAGATACTGATATAAAGTATTCTCCTTTTTGCTGCTTTTTAGATAATTTTTAGGGTTTTTTTTACTATCTGTTGAGGAATATATTTCCTAATTTCAAAGTAGTTAAGTTTGGTTGGTTTTTAGTTACATATGTATATACTTTTAGCTTGATTAGATTACACCTCGAGAATGTGGTCTTTAAAATCTCTATTTAAAAAATTTCTTGGGGGGCACCTGGGTGGCTCAGTTGGTTAAGTGGCTGCCTTCGGCTCAGGTCATGATCCCAGAGTCCTGGGATCAAGCCCCGCATCAGGCTCCCTGCTCAGCAGGGAGCCTGTTTCTCCCTCTCCCTCTGCCTGCCTCTCTGCCTACTTGTGCTCTCTAGCTCTCTGTCAAATAAATAAATAAAATCTTTAAAAAAAAAAAAAATTTCTTGGGCGCCTGGGTGGCTGAGTCGGTTAAGCGGCTGCCTTCGGCTCAGGTCATGATCCCAGGGTCCTGGGATCGAGCCCCGCATCGGGCTCCCTGCTCAGCGGGAAGCCTGCTTCTCCCTCTGCCTGCCACTTCCCCTGCTTGTGCTCTCTCTCTCTCTGTGTCAAATAAATAAATAAAATATTAAAAAAAAAAATTTCTTGAGGTTTTCTTCTTTGCCAAGTTCATGACCTGTTTTTACATATGTTCCCTGGATGTGTCAGCATTTCTGCTCGGAAGATATTACACCTCTAAAAACTCATCATATCAATTTTATTGATTATGTTTTTGTTTCTCGTTTGCCTTATTTTTCCTTTTTTGCCCTTTCATAAATTTTATTCTGTTTATCTCCCAAGAGTCAACTAAAATAGGAAGAATAAGTATTATTACATTTGAAAAAAAATTGAGAAATGGAAACTTAAAGTGTGACTTGAGTTGATGGTCGTTAGTCCCTAGTATTTTTATTTTAACTTGGGTGATAATTGGGAAGTGGCAGGGGATACCCACTCAAGTGGTGACAAAAGTTTTCCCAGCTATATATTAAAGGTTGATTCAATGTTTGGTGTTTTTGGGAAAGAAAGTGGTATATTGAGATTTGGCTGATGTACTTTGAAAGACTGTCAAACTCTATATATTAACTTTTTATAAATAGCTTTTGTGTTAAGAATATTGGCAAAAAATCTTTGCATTGGTAAGATGTGTAGAGGAATTTTTTTTCTTATGAAGACAACAATTAAAAATTTCAAAGAAGCATTTGTATAAGCATAGTTAAGATAGATGGAGAATAGTATTATCCTCATTTGATTAATGGTAGTATGTGCTAAGGTAAGTGATTAAACACAGTTTATCTTATATGCCCTGAAGCCTTTTACTAGGTAACCTACTCTTTTTTAAAATAAAAGTAAGCCTTTATTGAAAGAATAATTTAAGAATGAATGACGCATTTATAGGAAGTTACTACTTAAAAAAAAATAGTGAACATCCATGTGCCTTCTAGATTTACTAATTTTAACATTTTGCACATTTGATTTCTTTCTATGTGCATTCCTCAGAAATGCTTACCAACTTTATCATGCCTTTAATTTTGGATTCCAGCTCATGTGATATTTTTTTTTTTAAGATTTATTTATTTGAGAAAGAGAAAGTGTGCACGAGTTGTGGGGGAGGGGCGGGAAGGGAGGGAAAGGAGAAAGAGAATCTCAAGCAGACTCCCTGCTGAGCATGGAACCCGACTGGGGGCTCAGGGCTCTATCCCACCACCCTGAGATCATGACCTAGGCCAAAATCAAGAGTCGGATGTTTAACCAGCTGAGCCACCCAGCCACTCTTCATGTGATATTTCTACTGCCTCTGTTCTCTTTTTATCTGGATTACCTGATATTTCTTATATTTAAAATGTATCTCTTGAAAACAGCATGTTGCTGTGTTTCAGTTTTTTACCTAATTTGACAGTTTTTGTCTTTTAAGATAATGATGCAGATATTGATTTTATTCCCCCTACCTTATTTATTTAACATTATTATTTTCTCTTTTTTTCCTGTTCCTATTGTTCCTGGTTATCAAGTAGGGATTCATTGAATTTTCCCTTCTTATTAAAGTGGAAATTCTGTTATAATGTCTATGCCATTAATGATTAATAACACCTATCCCTGTACTTAATCATACTTTCTCCAGTAGCTGAAAGTAAGTTAACCTTCACTCCAGTATAACAAGTCCTTTAGATTATTTTCACTTCTTTCTTCTTCACCTCCTAACCCCAGAAGATTTTAGAACATTTTTTGGTAACTAAAATTCTAGATTTTACTTGGTTAATTTAGTCCTTTCGGTTCTGGGTTTTTCCTTGTGGTTTTGTCAATATCAGTAGTCTCACTAGCATTGTTTTGGTAGACTTTGCCTGATAAATCTTTTTCCTTCTTTTTATTTCATGAATGGGGCAACATAGTGCATAGTATTTTTTTTTTTACTTTTCAGAATTTGTAACCTTTTTTTAATTGAAATAATATAATTAACACACAGTGTTGTATTAGTTTAAGGTGTACAACATACTGATTTAACAATTCTATACATTGCTCAGTAACCACAATAACCATAATAAGTATAGTTACTGTCTGTTACCAATGTTATTACAATCTTATTGATTATATTCCCTATGCTCTGCTTTTCATCTCTGTGACTTATTTATAACTGGAAGTTTGTACTTTTTAATCTCTTTTATCTATTTCACCCTCCCCGCGCCCCCCCCCCCACAACTACCGGTTTGTTCTCTGTATTTAAGAGTCTATTTTCTTGTTTGTTTTCTCTTTGTTTGTTTGTTCATATATTTCTTAGATTCCACATGTGAGTGAAATCATGGTATTTGTCTGACTTATTTCACTTAGCATTGTATTCTCTGGGGCTATCCATATTATTTTATTTTTTTAAAGATTTTATTTGTTTATTTGAGAGAGAGAGTGCACAAGAGGGGGTGGGGTCAGAGAGAGAAGCTGGCTTCTCACTGAGCAGAGAGCCTGATGCGGGACTTGATCCTGGGACTCCAGGGTCACCTGAGCCAAAGACAGTCGCTTAACCAACTGAGCCACCCAGGACTATCCATATTATTGCAAATGGCAAGATCTCATTCTTTTTTTATGGCTGAGTAATATTCCTGTGTGTGTGTACCACATCTCTTTATCCATTCATCTATCAGTGGACACTTGGGGTGCTTTGCTATTGCAAATAATGCTGCAATAAACATGGAGGTGCATACATCTTTTTGAATTAGTTTTTGTTTTCTTTGGGTAAATACCCAGTAGTGGAATTACTGGGTCATATAATATTTCTATTTTTAATTTTTTGAGGAACCTCCATACTTTTTTCCACAGTGGCTGCAGCAGTTTACATTCCCACCAACAGTACAGCAGGATTCCTTTTTCTCCACATCCTTGCTGACACTTGTTATTTCTTGTCTTTCTGATTCTGGCTAGTCTGACATGTGTAAGGTATTATCTCATAGTGGTTTTGATTTATATTTCCCTGGTGTCTCCTTTAGTATATGGTAGTTTTTCTGTTTTGCTTCTATGACTTTGGCGTTATCAAGGAGCACTAGCTAGGTATCCTATAGAAGGTCTGCCAATCTAGGTTTGTCTGATGTTTTTCTCATGGATAGATTAGAGGTATGGGTTTTTGGAAAGAATACCACAGGTGTGAAATGCCTTTCTCATCACACTTATCAGGGGATACATAGTGTCCACATGCCATTACTGGTGATGTTAATCTTCGTCACTTGGTAAAGATAGTGTTTGCCAGATTTCTTCACTATAAAGTTATTATTTTCCTCTTTTCCTATTCTATTCTCTGGAGAGGCAGACTCTTGCCCTTTTTACTTTGTATTCTGTCTTCATATCTTTGTACTGGTTTTTACATTCTTACTAGGCCTTAAGTTTTTCTGTTAAGTCTAAATTTTTTTTTTCCATTAAGTCTAAATTTTAGTAGCATTTGTTGGGTCCTCATGTGAAGAGCTTTTGGCACTTTGAGATTTATTAACTGTATTTGTATTACATGTTCACACTGTACTGAAATTAACTTGTTACGTATTTGCTGGTTCTATCAGGTAGTAAACATAAAATATCTTTTTAGTTTTCTGTTTCTAGTGCCTAGCACAGTGCCTGGTGGCTAGAGATTTCTCAGTAAATATTTTGTTGAATTAAATTGATGAAGAAAACTTGTATTACTTGGCATACATAAGAAATGCCCATTATTTTCATCCCAGAATGCTATTTTAAGAAATGAAAACTGGCAGTTCAAGTGATTGAGTAGATGAATGAGCAAATAAAACTCTAAAGGAAACTCCTAAAATAGTGGTTCTCAAAGTATGGTCTCCCATCAGCAACATCAACATTACCAGAGAATTTATTAGAAATGCAGAGTCTTAGGCCTTAGCCCAGCCCAACTAAATCAGAATGTCTGGGGTAGGGTCAGAGAAGCCCTCTCAGAGATTCTGATGGCCACTAAAATTTGAGAAATGCTCCCTAAAAGGACAGAGAATAAAAAGAAAACAAAGTGAGAAGCTACTGGTAATTGACTGCAACAGTAAAACTAAATCCCCTTTCCCTGCTATCACTGAGAAAGCTTAGGTTTAATTTTGCCAGATTTTTTTTCTTTTTTTCTTTCGATGAACATGGTGCATCATTTGATTTAGTTGCTATTTTGTTTCAATGGCAGGCTTTGATTAGGATGAAGTACAATATAATAAAAAAAAAAAAAAATCACAACCCAGCAGTATACTGTTCACTTTTTTGTTTTATTTGGTAGAAAATTTTTTGGCTTCAGTTTTGTCAGGGACTATTTTCAACACAACATGAAATTAATGATACTTTTTTTTTTTTTTAATTTTCAAAAACTGTGTTGCCTATTGGCAGCAGATAGCTGACATAGCTTTTTTGCTTCTAGTGTCTCCTTTTCCAGGAAGTGACTCCCATCTGCATCAAGAGGAATGCTGACCTTTAATGTGCATGTTAGTCACTTCTTTTAGCTCAGTGCCAATTTAATAATATTGCCTATATCACGAATTTGGTTGAAAGTATGTGCTAGCCAGATTGTTTTCACTCTGGAGTTTCAAGCTTTTGAAGATAATAAAGTTTGTGTGTTTCTAAAACTAAATTGAATTCTTCAAGTTGACTAGTGAATGGGAAGAAGAGAATTCTTGGTTTGGGCCAAATGGTTAAATATGGTCCCAGGACAAAGAGCATCAGCATCCTTGGAGACTTCTTAGAAATTTAAAATACCAGGCCCAACCCAGACCTAATGATTCTAGAATTCTCGGAGTGGAGCCCAGAAATTTGTGCTTTATAAAGTTGTCCCGGTAATTCTGATACCTGCTACAATTTGGGTCCCATTGGGTGTAAGTTTAGTTTTATCCTTTGTGGAGGAGAACATGGTATTGTAAAATTATATGTGTGCTCTTAATGAAGCTATCAAATCTGAGAAAAACAAGAGCTTTGTAGCCGGATCTTTGTTTGAACCCTATACTATCTTAAAAGGTATCAGGCAAGTTACTTAGCATCTCTGAGCTTCAGTTTCTTCATACATAAAATATTTGTAATCACACAAATCAGGGATCAGTGTTGTTGTATTAGATGCTCAATAAATACTGATTTGAAAGCCCCCTAAAACTTAACTTAGAATTGTAAGCAAACTTTTTTTGGGGAAAAATGTTATTTTATTTTATTTTATTTTTTTTAAAGATTTTATTTATTTATTTGAAAGAGAGAATGAGAGAGAGCACATGAGAGGGGGCAGGGTCAGAGGGAGAAGCAGACCCCCCGCTGAGCAGGGAGCCCGATGCGGGACTCAATCCCGGGACTCCAGGATCATGACCTGAGCCGAAGGCAGTTGCTTGACCAACTGAGCCACCCAGGCGCCCCTTATTTTATTTTTAATAAAAGATTTTGTTGATTTATTTGACAGAGAGAGACACAGCGAGAGAGGGAACACAAGCAGGGGGTAGGAGAGGGAGAAGCAGGCTTCCCGCGGATCAGGGAGCCCGATGCGGGGCTCTATCCCAGGACTCTGGGATCATGACCTGAGCCGAAGGCAGATGCTTAACGACTGAGCCACCCAGGCGCCACCGAAAAATGTTATCTTCAGTGGAAGAAAAATAAGTACTTAAGCTTCCTCCCAGTTGCTGTTGGAATCTTTTTGGAGGTTCCAGGTTGCTTTTTTTTTTTTTTTAAAGATTTTATTTATTTATTTGACAGAGAGACAGAGACAGCGAGAGAGGGAACACAAGCAGGGGGAGTGGTAGAGGGAGAAGCAGGCTTCCCGCTGAGCAGGGAGCCCGACGCGGGGCTCGATCCCAGGACCCTGGGATTATGACCTGAGCCACCCAGGCGCCCCAGAAGTTCCAGGTTGCTTTGAGCAATTTCATATACTTGAAGGTTGTCATGGAAACTATCTTTTGAAAGTCTTGGAGGTGTCTTGAATTCTTTAAAATGAGGGAATATCCTGGAACATTCTATATGTAGGTTGTTCCACTTTGTGCAAATGCTTTATTTAATAATTAAAAATAATTTTAAATAGGTAATACATTCTCATGGTTCAGAAAGCAGTACAATATAAGAAGGTATTCAGTGGAAAAAAACTCAGTTCCATCCTTGCCCTCAGTGCTTCATTTATACCCACTCTGTAATCAACCACTTTTCTTAGTTTCTTGTTCATTCTTCTAGACTTCTAAAATGCAAATATAGGGCGCCTGGGTGGCTCAGTTGGTTAAGCGACTGCCTTTGGCTCAGGTCATGATCCTGGAGTTCCGGGATCGAGTCCCGCATCGGGCTCCCTGCTCGGCAGGGAGTCTGCTTCTCCCTCTGACCCTCCTCCCTCTCATGCTCTCTGTATCTCATTCTCTCTGTCTCAAATAAATAAATAAAATCTTTAAAAAAAAAAATAAATAAATAAAATGCAAATATAAACACATGAATAAATATTACTCCCTTACTGCAAAAGATAACACACTATACACACTGTTATACACATTAACACTGTACTTGGATATCTTTACATAGAGAGCTCTATGATTACTAACCCCCCCGCCCAGGTCAGCTTTATTGAAGAACTACTTTACATACAGTGAATTGCATTCAATTTAAGTATATAATTTGATGAGTTTTGATAATTGTATATATTTGTGAAGGTACTGCAGTTAAGATAGAGAATGTTTTCAATGGCTTTTGTTCGTTGGTTTTTGTTTTTGCTTTTGTTTCATAGTATTTTATTGTATAGCTGTATCATAATTGTTTAAAACCAGTCTTTTGTGGTTGAGCACTTGGGTGCTGCTACAAAGAATTCTGTGATTAACAATCTTTTTCACACAGTGTTTTTTTTATGGAGGCAGGTAAGTCTGAGGATAGATTCCCAGATGGGGGATTGCTGAGCCAAAGGAGAAATTTGGTAGTTGTTGCCAATTTGTCCTTCATAGGCTTTGTACCAGTTTGAGCTCCCACTAGCAATGCCTGAGGGTGCCTGTTTGCCTAGTGTAGTTAAGAATGTGCTTTATGAAACTTTGGATTTTTGCCAGTTAAGTGGAAAATGGTATTTTAATACAGTTTTAATTTGAAGTTTTCTTGTGAAAGTGAGCATATTTTTGTATATTATAGACCATTTGTAGTATTTACTTTTCTGTAAAATACCTGTTTTTACTCTTTACCCATTTTCCTATTGGATTTTGTTTTTTTCTTCTGTTAATTTCTAGGGACTCTTTTTAGGGAGATTAGCTCTTTCTTTGCAAATATCTTTTTCCCAGATTGTTTGCTTTTGACATTGCAAGATCTCTAATTGAAGGGTGTGTGTCTGAGTTTTTGCTACTTTGGATATATTCCTAAAAGTTGCTTAGCTTTGATTTATTTCCTTTTCTCCTTTCTTCCTTTCATCTCTCTCTCTCTTTTCCTCCTTCTTTCTTTCCCAGCCTAATTTCTTAAAAAAAAAAAAAAAAAAATTTGAGACAGCTTAAAGCTGCTTTGTGTGAACAATAATCAGTTCAGTGGGTCAGTGTTGTTAAATGATTTTAATATATATGACCCTGATTCATCTCTCTTGAAGGCCATGTTTTTGGTATACTGCGCATTGGAGAAAGAACCTGTGCCAATGTCCTTGCCTCCCGCCTTGGTGCCACCTTCTAAGAGAAAAACGGTCAGTATATCAGGCTCTGTGTGGTTGATCCCCTCGTCAGCATCAGCCGAGGAACCTTACCACTCCTTACCACCTGTAGGCATTTTACCTACCAAAGCACCGTTAAGACAGGTATAGATCTATCAGTGTTAAAGGACTTTTTTTTAAGTGCATGGCATTTAATAGTTGATTGCTTGATGAAGACAGAAGGAGCAATCAAAGGGATCAAAGATTTAGAGCACCCTCTGGTTGAACCTGCATAATGTCATGTCCCGGAGAAGACATATAATCCTTCTCCTGCATTTGGCCTTACTTAGGTCATATGGATGTTTTATTGGCTTTGCCTTGATCTACCTGGAATTAGAGTTGGAGACAGAAGATACTCCATGCTAATCTGGCATGCTTGCCCGGGCATAGTTAATAGATATTTTTGTTTTTTTAATCCCCAGTTAACTCTTGATTCTTAGGGATCAAATTATCCAATTTTGGGTTGTCGAGAGCCTTTTTTCCTCCAGCCTGCTGCTTGTCAGGCTGAGTAAAGGCAAATAATGGCAGGATATGCAAATCAGCTAATTCAGCTACAGCTAAGAATGGTGAATGAAACTATAAAAAATGGGGATTGAGAATTATCTGAATATTTTGTTTATACAGACTCTCACAGTTACCCATATTAATGTGGTCATTCATAAGTCAAGAGTTAACTATGCTTGAATTTACTCATTACTTAAAAGGAAAAAAGTGAAATGGGCATCTATAAGTATAGTCCCAACTAACCTATATTTTTCATCTGTAATTTTCTCTTCACCACAGCATTTCGATTAGGGTGTGATGGAATGGTACAGTTAGTGGGGTGGAATTGCTCAGAATTTTGACAGATACTATCATGGATTGCAAGAATGACATTTCAAAGTCTGTTTCATTCTGACAGAAATTCTCTCTTTCTCTCTCTCTCTATATATACATATTTACTTATTTTTATTTTTATTTCTTTCCTGTAGTGGGTTGTATCCCCTGCAGAAAAGGCTAAATATGATGAGATCTTCTTGAAAACTGATAAAGATATGGATGGCTTTGTGTCTGGATTGGAAGTCCGTGAAATCTTCCTGAAGACAGGTTTACCTTCTACCTTACTAGCCCATATTTGGTAAGATTTTATTTAAATTGATTTAGAAAACAAATATGGTTTTGTATAACTCTAGTTTTGTGCATTCTTATTTTTAGGCATTTGTAAATTGGACAGTTTTGTTTCAGAATTTTTTGTAGAGAAAATTTAAATATGAGAATTTCTTCTGGATAATGGATAAAAGCTTGAGAATGGATTACCTGTTTTATAAGATTGACAATGTCAGTTAATGATTATTAAAATGTTAAAATGCAGCATTTGTTTATATCAATTAAACTTAAATTTTTAAGGGAGAATCAAAAAATCTGAAATTTAAACAATATACAAAACAGTACCTTCAAGGTGTGCTCTTATAATTCTGTAGGTCATATGTATTCTGTTATACCTTTACATAGAGAGTATACACTTGGTCCTTAAAAAAGACAAACTTGAGTGTCTCTAGTGCATACCATGTTAAATGAGACCATGCATATGAAAATTATAGTGTGCCTGTTGTCAATCCACCTGACTATACCAGAGGTTATGTTGAGGTTTTCATGAGGCAGCAAACATCAGATGTGGAACCACATAGCTGCAGAGATACTTAGAAAAGAACAAATGAGGACAGTAGGTCTGCCTTAAGAGGAACAAGAACTCAAGACTGGGAAAGATTAAATATGTGTAACTAATAATAATTGCCACTTTCAAGAGCCTAGGCCAGACAGTGTGCTCAATAAATGGCAGTTGTCATGGGCTTGGCAATATGCCCAGACTTTATGTACTTTACCTTTAATTCTCACTGTAACCTTGCAGAATGTGTGTTATCTCCACTTTATAGATGAAGAAACTAAGGCTTGAAGAGGTTAAAAAAATTTGTTCAAGGTCACAAGAAGAAATAAGTAGAGAAGTTGGAATTCAGGGTTTCTTTGACAACTTACCCATAGTCTGTTCATCAGGCCACATTGGGTTTCAATGAATGAAACAGATCAGGACTTCAGAAAGCTGAGCTTTAGAGAGAGAGAAAGAGAGAGGAAGGGAGGAAGGACAGAAAAGAAAACAGGATAAAACATTTGCTGTTTCTCTTCAAGTGATTTTGTAAAGCTTTCCACATTGCTGCCTTCTCTTCACATGTGATCTCCATTTGCAGCTGTTGTTTCTGCTTTGACTTGGTGATCCTTATATCCGCCTACTCCCTAGAGTTGCAGGAAGCAAGCCAACGTGGAAATTTTTGCTTGTTTTAGAATCATTCTAATGCCACTAATGAACCAAATTTGTTGAAACTTAAGTTTCATTTTTAACATCTTTTTTTTTTTTAATTTTTTTTTTTTTTTATTTGCAAGAGAGAGAAAGAGAGACAGAGAGCATGAGAGGGAGGAGGGTCAGAGGGAGAAGCAGACTCCCGGCTGAGTAGGGAGCCTGATGTGGGACTCGATCCCGGGACTCCAGGATCATGACCTGAGCCGAAGGCAGTCGCTTAACCAACTGAGCCACCGAGGCGCCCCTCATTTTTAACATCTTTTAATGTTGAGAACATTGGGATTCTTTGGCCCATCACAACTCTTACTCTGTAGTGGTTCTGGAAATTGGTAAGGAAGCACAAAGCAAACCCAGATAAGAGACCTCTGCTCAGCACCAAGGTGAACATTCTCTTTCTCTCTCTCTTTTTTTAAAACCATTTTAGCTGATCTCTCTTTTCTAACATTTGAGTTTAAGTTTTTGACAGGCCAAACACACAGAAATATGAGTTTCTTTTTTAATTCAACTGATATTTTTAAAAAGCTACCTAGTCTTATTACTTTTTCCCTGGATTTTTAGAATAGCAATTGTAGCATTTATATTCTGTTTGTTTTCTTTATTTGTACAGGACATTATGTGACACAAAGGACTGTGGGAAGCTTTCAAAAGATCAGTTTGCCTTGGCTTTTCACTTAATCAATCAAAAGTTAATAAAGGGCATTGATCCTCCTCACATTCTGACTCCTGAGATGGTCCCACCATCAGACAGGGCCAATTTACAAAAGGTAAGACAACTTAACAGAAAACCTGAGTGTATTAACAGAAAGAAACAAGTGCTGTGTTAGATGACAGACTTGATTTGAATGAAACGGTGGAGAAAATGTATCTGGCTAGGAGTAGAGCAGTATACTGTTTGTGGTTCAGTTTGTGTCTATAAATATGTTCAAACGCCTTGTATGACATCGTTGGGCTGCAGTTCATTTACCCCAACATTTATTACATATATGGCAACCATATTTTCCAATCTAAAAATTGGAAAAATGTGTCTTTTTCCCCCCTCTTGGATTTGTGAATTTTTATGAATAAGGTATAAAATTTAAATGAAATGTATAGGAATTAAATTGCTGTGTTTCATTTGATGATTCACTCAATACAAATTTGAAAACAAAATCTAGGAGATTATGATTGTTTGGTGTCAATTTTTTTTTTTTAAGATTTTATTTATTTATTTGACAGAGACACAGCGAGAGAGGGAACACAAGCAGGGGGAGTGGGAGAGGGAGAAGCAGGCTTCCTGCGGAGTAGGGAGCCCGATGCGAGGCTCGATCCCAGGACCCTGGGATCATGACCTGAGCCGAAGAAAAACATTATGTTGAGAAGAAATCTTTGTGGTTTTTGCCATGCAGATGACCTTCTTTTCCTGAGCATATGGCCAAATTTCATAGCTGAACAGCTAGAAGCCGGTTTTAGCAACTTCTGGTTTCTGGCCAGCAGTGGGAATTTTCAAAACTACCTTGTTTTAGCCATGCTATGCCTTGATTTTTCTCTCCTCCTCCAGACATCCTTCCTAGCATAGTATATTTACAATATCTTGGCCTTAATAGAGCTTCAAAAGGACTTATATTGTCTAGAGGCTATTTGCCTTTAAAAAATACATACCTTGGGGCGCCTGGGTGACTCAGTCGGTTAAGGGTCTGCCTTCGGCTCAGGTCATGATCCCAGGGTCCTGGGATCGAGCCCTGTGTCGGGCTCCGTGCTCAGTGGAGAGCCTGCTTCTCCCTCTCCCTCTGCCTGCCGCTCTGCCTGCTTGTGCTCTCTCTGTGTCAAATAAATAAAATCTTAAAAAAAAACAAACAAACATACCTTGCATTTTTAAATATGTTAAGACCTATAAAGTAATTATTGCTGTGGTGATTCTTCAGAGTTAGATGTAATAGAAGTTGTCAAATGTGTGGTGTAAGGAGAGCTGTCCTTAAAATGTCAGTAGACTCTTTTGGTTTTACAGTAATTTTGTCACATAGGTTAAAAAAAAAATCCCATTTTAACCTAATAAAAGTCAAAATTGATTTTTTTATAAGTCAACTAAATGGAAATTTATAGCCACCAGGTTTGGAAATTACTTATAAGAGTTTTTATCCTTATTTTTTAATAAAATAAGTATTTGATTATCTCTTTTGTGAGTTTTGGGGGAGGGGAGAGCATTTTGTGAAATTTTTGAAATTTCTTGTGACATAGGATATGGGTTCCCTAAGTTGTGGAAAAGGCTACAAGGGATGCCACCCAGAAAGATAAAAGTTACAAATTTGTATGTGTGCTCTCTGCTATAACTGTATCTCAGTTGTTTCATCCTTTTTTTTTTTTTTTTACCTATGCAGACTTTTTCCCCTTGTCACCTTCATTTTATACCCACTAAGTCTCCCACCAGTGCAAACTACAGATATGACAGAGCTTTCTGAAGCAAATGACATTAGTAGACACTCCAGGTTGCATCTGCTGTACAGAGTTTTTAATAGAATTGTCTGAAGTCCATTCACCAGAGCATAGACATCTTTGGCTATTTATATCAGATACCAATATTATACATTAAAATGGGATTTTATCATTATTGTCTTACCTATTAACCAAAATTTTTAACCTAAATATTAAAAATTTGCATTTGTTTTATCTTTCAAATAGTCTCTTTTCTCTTTATAATCTAATTTTTTTAGAACTGCATTTTTTTGCAGCTTTGACTAATCATTTTTTGAATATTGCTTTCCTTTCTGTGTTTTTTCTAGTTTGGACTATTTTTTCCATTCTGCAGCACTCTGCTTTTCGCCTTTCTTGTACTGTCAGTTTCTTAACTCTACTCTCTCAAGGTTAGAGCTTTACTTTTTGCCTTTTTTAGCATTACAGTTTTTGGTTTATAATTTTGAAATTAGAAGCTTTTTAAGTGGCAAAGTTGATGCAGAGAAAATATCTAAACAGCATGATTTTGTCACATGTCTGTCACTTGGTCCTTGTGTGCATTTTAGATGGCCTTCCTTAGGCTTTTTGATCCACTTAAAATCACTAAAGTGGAATTTTTGTGTAATGCACAAAACTGGGTGAGAGAAAATATTTTGAAAGAAGAGGACATGCTACATCTTTCTCCATATGCCCTTCTTATACTTTATATACTATTAGCTGAACTTTTTCCATGTTTGTTGGTTGGATGCCATTTTTACTTTAGAATGGGAGTTTAATTTCTGTGTTAGCAGTTGAGGAGTGACACAAGCTATACCAGCTGCAGTACACTAATCTTCCTTCTAGAGTCATCTGTGGTATCACCTAACTTGTTTGAGGTTAAACTTATTTGTCTCACTCTTATTTGAGATTTTTAATAGTGAAAGACTGTCAACTGTGAATCACTTTTTTTGAGTTAGAGTGACAGAGGTGTGGAAGTCATGAGTTTCTTGGTATACTTGCACCTTTCATAGCGAATTTCTCAGTAGCAGTTAGGTGATATAAGTTACTCTTGGTGATAAAAGTGAGACCAAGTCCTAATTTTTCATTTTGTTCAACTGTCAAACTGTCTGGCCAGGCTTAGCTCATAAATCAAGTTTAGACAGACTTAAAATTCTAGTGAATACCTGTCATCCTCAGAAATCCACTTTAAAATTTCTAATTTAATTTAGGATGATAAGGGTCCCTGTATTAGAGAAACACAGTAAAACAGTAAGAGGTACATTTGATAAAAATTTGTAGTTAATAATAAAATTGAGACTAGCATTAATTGAATCCTAATAGATGAATTTTGGTATTGATAGACAAAACATCTGAGGACTAATAATGCAGTGTGCCTAAAGAAATATGGAGGAAATTATTTGCCAGATTTTATTGACATACCTGTTTATCAAGTTGGCTTTTAGGGTGATGGTTTCATTTACCTATATGATCTTGATATGCAAGTGCTAAGGGGCATAATGTGAAATAGACTTGAATTTAATCAGCGGTCTCCTAATCAGTATCTCCTATTTGCTGGGTTCAACTTTAGGCAAGTCATTTAAATCTAGTTCCTTAGCTATAAAATGGGGTTAGTAATAATATCTGCCATACCTACAACCCAGTTTTCAGATTAGTTTTGAGAATTGATTAATGGATTTGAAAGTGCTTAGTAAATTGTAAATCATCATATACATGTGAAGAGATGGGATATTGTGAACTTTTAGGTTTCTTCTTCCGTTATCCAAGTTGGTGACATACATTAAGTCCATAACAACATAAGTATTAATTCTAAGTTTTATGTTCTGCTAATAAGGTCCTCAGTATATTTTAGTTTTACATATAGGCCTCAATTTTAACATTTCCTAATGGTGGTTATTCTGTTATTTGTCAGTCTGGTTGTAGCACTGGAGGTAGGTTAGGTGTTTAAAGGAGCAGTTATCTTCTTGCCCTGACTTCAGCCAGATATATAACGCATCAAAAATGGTTCACAAACCATTGTGAGCCAGGGTGGAAGCAACTCATTGGGAGAGCGTCCATCTTAAGAGTATATTCTGTTGAGGAAGTTAATTATAATAATACCTTACATTTGTAAAATGTTAAAAGTTTTAGAGTGCCTTTACATACATTATTTATCTCATTTAATTTTTTAAAATATTTTATTTATTTATTTGATAGAGACACAGCGAGAGAGGGAACACAAGCAGGGGGAGTGGGAGAGGGAGAAGCAGGCTTCCCACTGAGCAGGGAGCCCGATGCTGGGCTCGATCCTAGGACCCTGGGATCATGACCTGAGCTGAAGGCAGATGCCCCTATCTCATTTAATTTTCAAAGAGAGGGCAGAGATTATTTCCCTATTTTATAGTGAAGATCGTGCAGCTAGTAAAATGGCAGAGCCCAGAATAAACCCAGCTAGATTTTCTAACTACAGGTACCATTCAGAGACCAGTTTTGACACTTTCATTATTGAAAGAAAACCATATGTGAAGGATGTCATGTATGAAAACAGTTTCATATATGGTGATATTAATATTTACTATGGAACATCCTGAGCAGTTGGTTCTACTTTAAATAGAGTAGGCACTAAAATTGGTTAAGAAAAGTAAATGTTGAATTGAATAAAATCAACTACCATTATGATTCTGAGATTCAACAAAAATTTGTTTACTTACTTTGTGCCAGATGACACAAGTACACATAAGTCAATGTCCATCTCCCCAAGAAATTTATTCTTTAATGGAGAATTAGCTTATAAATCTGGTATCTGCTTTACTTCAAGGTTTAAACAGGCGCTAGGATCAAGTGACAAAGACTTTGGGATCTGAAGTGGTGGTACCTATTATAGAGCAACGGCTTTTAGAGAATTTAAGGGCAAATGTCTCCGTTTATAACTGTGTGTGTGCGTGTGTGTATAAAATTACACTAGATATGATTTTCTTAAATGAATTTAAAGTATTAGTAATACTGTAAAATGTGTAATAATCTGTATTCATGTAGTGCTTTTAAACATTTTTAATACTTCACCATATATAGATTTATAGTAATAATGTTATAATTGTGAACTTTTTGTTTTTAGAACATCATAGGATCAAGTCCTGTTGCAGATTTCTCTGCTATTAAGGAGCTAGATACCCTTAACAATGAAATAGTTGACCTACAGAGGTATGTAAAGTAAAATTACAGCTGACTATGTAAATATACACACACACACACACACACATTTCTGTTTTTAATATATATCTTGGTAAATGCTACTTTATTTAAGTACCATAGTTCTTGAATTGGGAATCCATGAAGCCTGTTTCTTTTTTTTTCCAGTATAACCTATCAAATCTAAGGCAACCCTTTCATTGCAGGATGCACTATTTTCTTATGTACCACTAAACTAAAAATCACTGCCAAATAAACAGTGGCATCAGCTATAAATACTATCTGACTTTAGGCAGTGAAAAATGTGTATCTTAGAATGAATAGAAAACAGTTTTCCTCCAGCTTTAGATATTTGAATAGCATATTAGAAAAACATTATTTAATACATTTTATGGAAGGAGTGTTAAATGCATATACCATGCCAAGAGCTTTCATAACTGTTACCTCATTTGCTTCTCACAGAAACCTTATGACTTGAGTTAGATTTTATTGTTCTTCGTTTACAGTTAAGGAGTTCAGGTGCTTAGAGAGTTATTTTGCCCAGTCATACAAACCTGTCAGCAGTAGAACTAATAATACCTGATCTCAGGACTACTTGATTTGGAGTTGAGTCTTCTCTCTTATACATAGGTACTGTGTAGAATGGACTTAAATACAATTGGATTTGAATCTAAATACAGCAGGCACTATTGATATTTACTAGAAACTTTATGGTAATACTATAAAAGTGACCTCCTGAAATTACTTTTTTAAAAATGAGACCATTTTCCATCTACAAGGCATTGGGTTTAAATATCATTTTATATTTACACAAACCTTTTTCTGTTTTTAACCTTCATAACACTTTGAAGCAGATAATGGCTGATACTTTATTTTATTGATGGTACTGAGACATAAGGGGGTTGTCGAATGATTTATCTGGGCCATATGGCAAGAAATAGGGAATGATCTTTCCTCATTCATGAGGCTACATTAAAATTGCTATAGAGAAACTTAGTTGTTATGATTTTTCAGTTGCAAGAAAGAATTCAACCCAAGCTAATTTAAGTGAGAGTGAATTTATTGACTTGTGAAATTAAGATCTCTTAGAGGTAGAGATGGCTTAAGGAATAGCTTCATACTGGGGTTCAAATGATATAATCTGTTTTCTTGCTCTATTTATTGTCTCCACTTCCACTGGGTTGTTCCAGTCTCAGATGGAATTTCCCATTATATTGTCAAAAGGGCTATAGCACACCTAGCCTTGTGTATTTGTAATTTCAGATCTAGTGGAGTACCTCTTTTCTGGCAGTTCCTGCAAAATCCCTAAGATTCCATGTGATTGTACTTGCTTAGGGCCATGACTGTCCCTGAAACAGGGGCCAGGGATGTATAGTTTATTGATTTGCCATGAACTCTGTCATGGGAGTGGTTGGAGGGTAGTTTGTTACTAGGACCACATAAGAGGAGTGGGTATCCTGACATGAAAATTCTGCCAGAAGGAGGCATGGATTCTGGGGAGGTAAATGTCTGCTGAAGGCAGCATAGCTTCAAATCCACAGTAATTTCTTTTTTTTTTTATTAACATATAATGGATTATTTGTTTCAGGGGTACAGGTTGTGATTCATCAGTCTTACACAATTCACAGTGCTCACCATAGTACATACCCTCCCCAGTGTCCATCACCCAGCCACCCCATCCCTCCC